GAGTGGGCACAAATGTAAATAAAATGCACCCATTACAAGAAAGCTATATATCGAGAGTATTTCAAGGAAGATGCTAGAAAAGACTTCAAACAACTGATTATGGAATTCATGACTAATCCTGATCCCAAACTGACATAGCAATGGGTCACCTTAATGTTTCATCAACTGATCACGCAACAGCAGCCGCCGCCGTAGCAGCTGGTCATCCGTCAACCCTTGAAATCTCCAGTCATTTCAAGTAGTATCGGATCTACAACACACATGGAGAGGTATCTAGTCGATGACATCATCAGGCCAATATCTTGCTCACTTTTTATAGCATATAGTATCACTAATGTCCGGATGTTAGAAGTTGCCACTGGGTTGACGATTCTAACCGCACATTTCATTGTTAGCCCATTCCTGATAAGTACGCTCTGGTACAAATGCAAGCTGGCAGTCATGCCAGGCCATCAAAATAACTTGTTAGCCACCTCCACTTCAGAGGGATCATGAATATTGGACAGGCTTTAATTTTGACAATTTATACCATGGACTCAATAAGACATCAAGTTGAATGATCGTTTTCCTTCGATGCCATTTCTCATATAGAGGAAGAAGGACCACCGAATCCTGAAGGGCCATAACCTAATCCACCCTAGCCAACTTAGAAGGCATCGGCCCGACTGGGAGACAAGAAGCCTCGAAACCTAAAGTGACAGAAGCTAACTCACCATCGCTAACCAATAATCCACCCTTCTCTAGCGAGAGGCAAAAGTGTCAAGAACCTAAAGACCTAGAAACTAATCCATCCTCTCCATGTAAGGAGCGATCCTTACCGACCATGAGAAGAGGCTAAGGAACCCAAAGGGAAAGATCATATACTGCCCAAAATGGTTACAACGTATGACAAGACACCATCTGCGGAATGGCAAAGTGGAGGCCAAAATTATTGATGAGGAAAAATGAACCTCCTGTAGTCCAAATTGTTCCAAGAGTCTTGGGTCGGAACTGGCACTACTATAAAAACGATTTGTAGCAACGTCTCCTTTTTCTTTAGGGGCGGCTCAATTTGTAGGGGCGGCTGGTGTTAGCCGCCCCTACAAATCCTGATTTGTGGTGGCGGATGGATATAGAGCTGCCCCTACGAATAGACGCTGAATAGTAAAAATTAAATACTAAAATTTGAATTTGTTCAAACAAACTAGGATGGAGAAATGACCAAAATAAAAGTTATATATCTCGAAAAGTTATAGAACTTTGTTGTTTATAACTTTTTTCATTTGAAATCATTTACTTTTTCAAAAGGCTATTGGAAATTCAAAAGTTGAAGAATGTGATTTCTCTTTTTAATCTCTGGCTAAAACTTATAACTAGTTTTACTCCCTCGTCATACCTTCAAATTTGATTATTTTTTTCTAAAATTTTCTAAAATTATGCTCTATCAATTTATTGTGTTGTTACAGCTATTATTTTGGTCATTTTTTCATGTGACTTTGTTTTATCAATTCAAATTCGAATTTGAAAAAAATGGCAACTTGAATCAACATTTTAAAGAAGTAAATGATTTCAAATGAAAAAGTCATGAACAACAAAGTTGTAGAACCCATCAAGATCTACAACTTTTATTTTGATCATTTCTTCATCCAAGCAAGTGATGGTAAAATTGCTCACAAATTTACATATCCCTCGTATAGTTTCATAAACTATAAAACACATATGTAAATTTATGAACAGTGTTACTATCACTTCGTCGTATGAACAAATGACCTAAATAAAAGTTGTAGATCTTGATGAGTTCTACAACTTTTTAGTTAATGACTTTTCAGCTGAAATCATTTACTGGTTTAAAATGTTATTTGAAGTAGTCATTTTTTAAAATTCAAATTTTGAATTGTTCAACTGAAGTCACATGAAAAGATGACCAAAATGAAAGTTGTAGACCTCGAAAAGTTATAGAAGTTTGTAGTTGACAACTTTTTCATTTGACATCATCTTGTCAAGAAAAACTACGTTTGAATTTCTCAAATTTAAAATTTTAATATTTCAAATGACCTCGGATGGAGAAACAACTAAAATGAAAGTTGTAGATCTCGAAAAGTTATAAACGTTTGTAGTTGGCAAATTTGCCATTTGAGATCATTTGTCAAAAAAACTATGTTTAAATTTCACAAATTTAAAATTTGCAATTTTCAAACGACCTCAAATGGAGAAACAACCAAAATACAAGTTGTAGATCTCAAAAAATTATACAAATTTATAGTTGACAACCTTTTGATTTGAAATCACCTTGTCAAAGAAAACTACAGTTGAATTTCTCAAATTTGAAATTTAAATTTTGTAAACGACCTCGGATGGAGAAACTACCAAAAATGAAGTTGTAGATCTCGAAAAGTTATACAACTTTATAGTTGACAAATTTTTCATTTGAATTCGATTAGGTCCTCAAATAATCAATTTAAACTTGGTTTCGTATAATATGTGGTAAAGAAAATCTATAATAGACACAAGTGAGTGTGAGGTGTAGCGATTAGAGGAGTACCACACGAGGGAGGGATCACGGGTTTGATTCCCGCCGGACGCGATGCACACGATTTTCGCACGAAAAATGCCGCGACTTGCGACTTTTTGGGCTCGGATTCGTGAATTTTGGAAATGGATTCAGCCTAACCGCCCCTATAAATCAGGCATTTTTACCAACTATTCCGTAGGGGCGGCTGGCAAAACTGCCCCTACAAATGATGTGGAGCCGCCCCTACAAATGGTGGTTGTACTAGTGTTGGATGTAGTAAAAAATTCATGTGAAGAATTTAAATTTGCTCCAATTTACTCCCTGTAGTCACTGTTTCGGTTCTTCATGTTGCAATAGAGAAAACCACATGTACTTGTATGGAGAAAATTGCGAAGGATACTTAAATTTTTTCTGTCACCCAAGGATGGAAATTGAATGAGGTCGGTTCCTAATGTGTAAGAATATTTTAGCTAGAGTTGTTCTACTAAATATATGTGTTACACTACTACAAAAAATCTTTGCGAGACAGCCTAGTTATATTAAAAGAGGCGGTCATATAAAATTTACCTATCTCCTAAAATACTTTGGAGGCAGTCATTTTATACGAAGGTTGCCAAAAAACTGTCGCTCTCAAAATGGATTTACGTAGGCAGCAACAAAATGTTGTCCCTCAAAATTAATTTATAGAGGATAGAGGAGTACCATTGAAGAGGTTTGTCTCTAAAAACAGTGGCCATTTCGGCTCGTCTCTGTAAATTGAGCCCCGCACACAAAGCCCATCAAGACCTGATATCAGCTTTAGAAACCCTAAGTCACCCTTCTCAACCCCCCCCCCCCCTGCCGCACTTGTATATCCCTCCGTCGTTCTCCACCCTCTCTCTCTAAACAGAAGTCACAGAGCTGCCCCGTCGTACCCCTCCCTCGCCCCCTTCGGCCACGATGTAGTCATGTAGAGCCTCTTCCGACCATAGCGCGGAGCGCCACCCCCTTGTTCTAACAGTGGTGAGCACGATGCATGCAACAGAGCACGGACGCGCTCTGTTAAACGTTTTTACCAGTCTTCAAAATTGTTTTGGTAGTAGTGTTACTGGAGCGTGTTAACTAATTAATGTAAGAGCAATGTATGTTTGTACACTGGAAATCTAGTTGGCACACGTACGTGCATTTGATGGATTAGTTTTTGGAAACTCGACGAGAAAGTGTGGAAGTCCAGGGCATCTAATTAATCAGTTAGACCTAGAAAGTATAGATGGCTGACTTGTGCATGTGGTCATTTCCATGCCACCATTGTATACACACAAACAAAATGAGCAACTTCAGTGTACATACTATAGATGGCCAAACGGGCCAGGCACGATGGGACGACATGGGCCCAGCCCTAAAAAGTACGGCACAAGCACGGCACGGGCACGAAGACCATAGTATCAGTGCCGGCACGGGCACGGTCTAGGGCCGTGCCTGGGCCGCAAGTTCAGCCCGTAGTGCCAGCACGGGCACGGCACAACTAATGGGCTGGCACGATAGCAGCCGATTATTCTCAGTCGTTGGATGGCCATAGATAAACTGCAACCGTTGGATGCATATGAAGACATATATAAACAAAATCCAAAACCTAGCTCTCTCTCTCGTAGTCGCGACTCGGACTCCTCCCATTCCCGCTTTGCTGTTCCGACTTCCTCTCATTCCTTTGTTGTCCCGTCCTTATGCGGTGGCGGCGGTGGAGCGGCATGGCATAGCAGCGGCGGCGGCGGCGGGCAGCAGCAGCGCGCGCCGCGGCGACAACTCGAGGTCTCGAGCATGGCCTCCGCCTCGCGGCGTGGTGCCGGGCTGGCACGGCTTGGAGCGTTTAGTGCTGTGTTTGGGCCAAGGGGTGGGCACGGTGACCTGATACGCCACGGCACGGATAGATCATCGCGCCTGCTCGTGCCGTGTCGTGCCAGGGCCAGGCCGCCCGTTTGGTCAAGTATAGTACATACATGATAGCTCTTGGAAATCTGAACAAGGAAAATCTTTACTGTAATGGCATATGTCAATGCTCGCTCCTCTGGTACCGTTTGAACCATGTTCTTCAAGGCCAATAGGTTCTTGTTAGTGCACTGAACAAGCAACAAGATCGACATGCGTTGACAAATAGGAATACATTTCCACCACATCTAGAGGAACCACGAGATAGGTCCACCTGGCCAGCAACATGTTTTCGAGGTGCAAATATATATTAATCATGTAGTAACATTTTTCTCCTTGATGAAACAAAGAAACATCGTCTAATAGTTTATAGTATTATAGTACTGGTGGTTTAGGATGTCAATGTCCGCTCTCTCGTACTATTAAAACAAGTAGCACATATGTATATGACCGGTGCATGTTGAAGAAAAAAATTATACTGGTGGCTCATATATTCATAATATACCAATGCTCTCCCGCTGCTGATGCCTATAAATACATATGCCCCTGCCTCCCAACACCTCCCACGCTTCATAATTCATTTATCTCCTCTCACTCAACAACTATGGCATCCAAATCCATCTCCTTGGTCCTCTTCCTCCTCCTTGCCGCCTTCACTGCGGGTGCAAGCGCAGCCACCTTCACCATTACAAATAACTGCGGTTACACAGTGTGGCCAGCGGGCATCCCGGTCGGCGGCGGCACGCAGCTGGACCAAGGCCATACATGGATCGTGGACGTGCCCACCGGCACCAGCGGCAGGTTCTGGGGCCGCACCGGTTGTTCGTTCAACGTGGAAGTGGCCACTGTGACATACACCGTCGATTGCGCTGGTGCGCTCTCCTGCACCGTCTCTGGGCAGCCGCCAGCAACGCTGGCCGAGTACACCATCGGTGGCACTGGCAACAACCAGGATTACTATGACATCTCGGTTGTTGACGGCTACAACCTGGCCATGGCCTTCTCCTGCAGCACTGGCGTTGGGCTGGTGTGCACAGACCCTAGCTGCCCTGATGCGTATCAGTATCCCACCGATGATACCAAGACCATGGTTTCCAATATCGGCCGAAATCTCCTGATATTTTCGATATATCCTCTTTATCCGTAGGTACCGATAAGAAAATATCTATCTTTTTCACATAAATTTTATTTGAAACCTGGACATGTCGAGATGTCGTCAAGTTTCGAGCAAACGGATCACATGTGGAGATGTCCAGGTTTTAGCCACCCGACGTCGCCACTTGCTCGAAACTTTCTCAAATTTTTACCACAGCCTCCGCATGCGATGACAAGACACGTCGTCAAGTTTCGTCATTTTCGGACTCCGTTTCGATTTTATAAAATTTAAAAACACTTTTCACGCGCGTGGCTCGGCGTGTTCCGACACCAACACGGTCGAAATTTCACGCGAGGCCCCGCACACGGCCTCAACATGCTCCAAACATCATGAATATCATTTTCTGAATCGCCGGATTCCATTATTTCATGTACCTGCAGTTCAAATCTGGAGCTGCCGGAAAAAATCAAAGAAACAGAAAAAATCAATGGAATATAGCAAAATAAATCAAAATGACCCCAAACTTGGAATATATCATGTACTTACTGTAGCAAGGCAACACAAAAAAACTGGGATCAAAAATCGAAAAAACAAATTAATTCTTTGCCGACTGCCATCAGTGGCAGTTGGCAAAGAGCCTTTGCCGACTGCCAGGGAGGATGGCAGTCGGCAAAGAATTTCTGAGAAAAAATCAAAAATAACCTTTGCCCGACCGCCAGGGGGCGGAGCGATCGACAAAGTATTTTTAAAAAAATTAAAAAAAAATTTGAAAAAAATAGACCTTTGCCGATCACAGTCACATCTTGGCAATGGCAAAGGAAAAAAAAAAAAAAAGAAAAAACGCTTTATCCGCTCGGCCCGCCCTCCCCCTCCCCAAAATCCACGCCACCGCCTCTCCTCCCTCCTCCTCCTCCCCGTCACCTTGCTCCTCCCGTGGCAGGCCCCTCCCGGGTCACATGCCCCCTCCCAGCGTGGCGCCCTCCCCAGCAAGGCGCCCTCTGGCCCCCCACAGGCATGGTCCTCCCGGCCCCGTCGCCCTCCCAGGCCACACACCCCTCCCACACCCCTCCCCGTGGGTCCATAGCGCCCCTCCGGCGCATGGCGCCCTCCCACAAGCGTAGCCCTCCCCGTGGCCCCCCATGGTCCTCCCGGCGGCGCCTCCTCCCGGCCACCTTCTCCCCGCTGGCCGCCCCTCTCAGGCGCGCCTCCCATGTGGCCAGCCTCCCCGTGGCGCCCACACTGGTCCTCCCGGCCACAGCGTCGCCCTCCCGGCACGCCCTCCCCCCCCGCGCTGCGCGCCTCTCACATGGGCGTGGCCCTCCCGTGGCCGCCCCCCATGTTGGTCCTCCCGGCGTGCGCCCTCCCCGGCCCGCCCCCCCTCCAGCCAGGCCATCCCATCCCAGGCCCCCCCCCCCCCCCCCCCATTGGCCACATGGGCCCCAGGCCCCTCGGCCGGCGCCCGGCCCGCCCAGGCCCCACCACCGGCCGCCCCCCTGATCCGGCCCGCCAGGCCACATGCAGCGTGCGGCTCAGCGTCGGCCCAGCAGCTGCCTGCCTCGCCTGACCTGCCCGGCACCGTCACTGCCCACCCGATCCGGCGTGCCCGCTCCGTCCGCCGTCCGTGGCTGGCATTGGCGTCCGTCCATGCATTGGTTCGCCGTCCGGCTGCCTGCGTCGCCCGTCCTCGCCAGCGCCTCCCTCGCCGTTCGCCTCCTCGCCTCGCCCGCCGCCTCGCCTCGCCTCGCCTTCCTCGCTTCGCCTCACGCTCCACGCCCGGTGATGCTGTCAGGTGACAACGAGGTAGTAGTACTACTAGTAGTAGTAGTTTACTTTGTTAATACCGCTATATTCTTCTCGCATGGATTGGAAATACATTTGTGGTTGTCGGCCATCGTGCACGACATGTATATGTGTTTGTCGGCCATCGTGCTGCCTTTTCTTGCAGTTTGGTAACCTTCCCGCATGTGGGAGGTGCCGCCAAAAATTTTCATTCTCACTAATTGTTTTTTTTTTTTCGAGGGCTCCCATTGGAGGCTAGCCGAGGAGCACGACTCGGCACCGCCTTCGCTAGCCTTTCTTCACGGCACTGCATGTATGACCCTCTTTCCGCCACATGTAGTCGTGAGGTCGCGTTACCCGGTTAGGCGTCTCCCATTCAAACGGATACGGTTGGAAGTATGCGTTCTTCGCATATGTATAACCGTATCCGTTTGGATTGTCCACGTTATTTGGACAGCCAGGATGCGCAGACGAGGTTAGCTCCATGTTCCGCTCCCGTGCCTCGAGTCGGGAGTTTGGCAGACCCTCCCGTTATTCTCGGATACACACTCTCCCGCCGGGCGTGTATCGGGAGAACAGCGGGAGGTGTTGCCAAATTCCGTCTAGGACGGAGCGAGCATGGAAGCTAACCTCGTCACAGATGCTGCTCGGGTGGGATTAGGACCTATCCTTCACCTATTAGATGGTAGGAGCGCGTTGTAGATGCACTTGCTGGTTTTATCACATGTTAACATTGCCGCATGACAGCAGCATGGGTGACCGTGAGTGGATGTACTGGGCTTCGCAAGTAAGAGCCACGAATGGATCGGGGGACGACCGAGTTCCTCGGAGCATGCATTTGGCCCAAATTGCTAAAGGGTCGATTCGGATGCCGTGTCCCCGCAGCGAAAGTGCAGGAACAAGAAGAAGAAAGTAAAGGCTCGGTGTTGAGAGATCTGTTCAAGCACGGTTCGTTCCAAACTATACCGTTAGGCGCCACCATGGTGAATACCATCCTATTAGGGACGAGGTGGTGCGACCCGCCCTCGAGGAGTATGATGGTGATGCCGGGATGGCGTATATGATGGCGGACTTCCACGAAGCACGGTTTGGAGAAGGAATGGATGTGGAGGAAGATCCGGAGGAAACCGCGAAGGCCTTCTACGACATGATGGAGTCGGCACAGAAGCCCCTTCACGAGAAGACAAAGCTTACGCAATCGGATGCCGCCTCACGCTGATAGGGTTGAAGTCGCAATTGGGCATTAGTCGAGACGGCTTCGATCTCGTGTTGAGCATTGTTGGGGGACTGCTTCCGGCAGATCATGTCCTACCGACGAACACCTACGCTACACAGAAGCTCCTTCGTGCACTTAAGATGCCGTATGAGGGGATCCATGCTTGTCCGAAGGGGTGCGTCCTGTTCAGGGGAGACCTCGAGGAAGCAAAAACATGTCCGAAGTGCGATGCCTCTAGGTTCGTGTTGGTAGAAGGCTCGATGGCAGCATGAAATGCCTTAAGGTCCCCGAGAAGGTCGACGGCACCTTCCTTTCCTACCGAGGCTGCAACGGCTGTATATGACGGAGGAGTCCGCGAAACAGATGACGTGGCACAAGAATGGCAAAAGATACCATCCTGACAAGATGGTACACCCGGCGGACGGTGATGCATGGAAGCACTTCGATAACATGAATCCTGTCAAGGCTATGGAGGTTCTGCAGTGGATCAAGACGTTAAAGTTCCCCGATGGGTATCTGGGCGAATCTGGCGGGGTGTGAACTTGCGAGACTATGAAAGTCTTAGGGATGAAGAGCCATGACTTCCACATATGGATTGAGCGGATCCTTCCTGCGATGACCCGGGATACCTCCCGAGCATGTGTGGCGCGTCCTGGCAGAGTTGAGCTTCTTCTTCCGCCAGCTTTGTGCCAAGGAGTTGTCTCGGGATGTTTGTGTTGAACTGGAGAAGGCTGCACCTCTGTTGCTCTGCAAGTTGGAGATGATATTTCCACCCGGCTTCTTTCTCTGTCATATGCAAAGATCTGATCTTGCACCTACCGCGCGAGGCACGGTTGGGGGGTCCCGTGCAGGCCCGTTGGTGCTATCCAATCGAGAGGTGTCTAAAGCTTCTTCGAAAAATTGTAGAAATAAAGCCAAGATTGAGGCTTCCGTGGGAGAGGCCTCCGTTCTAGAGGAGGTGTCGACCTTCACACAGCGTATTATATATCGAGAAGCTTCGCAGAGATGCACAATCCAACCCCTCGTTACAACGGCCCGACGAGAACTCATCGATACTCACCTTTTCCAAGGGGATCTCGGGAGTGGAAGCGCAGTACCAACAAGCAGTTGAACCATCAGGAGTGGCAGACTATCATGTTCACATTGTTGATCAACCTTGATGAAGTGATTCCTTATCAGAAGTAAGTTCTCAATGAGCTTGTTACCTACGCCGTCACTATCCTCCATCTATCATGGTCTGACCCTCTAGTTTCTTCCTTCTTTTAGGGAATTTATTAGTCAATCTCTGGAGAGGCAATAGGGCTCCTACCGAGCAAGAAGAAGACAATCTTCTTAGACACGGTGTGCCCGATTTCATCTCCGTTCTGCATAAAGGTACCAACCAACTAACCTCTTTCCGACTTTGTGATTCCACTTTGCTCCCCGGAGCGAGTTATGTAACGATCTTCTACCCTTGCAGCCCAAACGGATGCGAAATGAGCGATGAATTGAAACAGGTGGGCCGTGGCTTCTCCCGTAGGGGTGTGAAGTCATTCACCGCTTATGATGTGAATGGCTATCGCTTTACGCGAGAAGCTACGAGGAGAGTCGACCCAACCTAAAAACCATGTGCTGCGGAGTTCGTACGCCCGGCACGGATGGGAAGGACTACTACGGCATAGTCGAAGAGATATACGAGCTCAACTTTAAGGGTGCCGGGACTTTAGCGCCGGTGGTATTCAAATGCCATTGGTTCGATCCTGATATCACGAGGAAAGACCTTACGATAGGTCAAGTCGAGATTCGACAGGACTCCAGCTATAAAGGAGACGATGTCTACATTGTGGCTAACCGAGACGCCACGCAAGTTTATTACCTCCCATGGGCGTGCCAAAAGACGAGAAGCTTGCGGGGTGGAGCCTTGTGCATTTGGTGTCGCCACATGCAAAGCGCCTCTCCCAAACGACGACGATTACAACTTTGACCCAAGCACCAATGAGTTCTATCAACCTGAGGGGCTAGAAGGTACCTTGGAGATCGACATTGGTTCGCTCATGGGCATGGAAGTAGACAACGAAATCGATGAGGACGAGGGTGAGGAGGTGCAGGATGCCGTGGACTTAAGAATGCTTGAGCGATGGCGGATGCAACATACGATGGAGTTGTCCAGAGGAGGTACATGATGATGACTATGGAGACGATGAGGATGATGATGACAGTGATGACTTAAGGGAGCTCGACAATATTGATAGCGATGACGACGATAGTGATAGAGATGACGACTCCACGCCCGAGATATTGCCGTTCACGAAGATAATTACGAGGCCATGTAATACTATATTGTTATTATTATGTTCCTTTACAAGTACTTGTCATTTATTTATGCTAACAGATTTTGTTCTTTGTCATTGCGGGCACTCGGCAAAATGCCGGTAGGACGGCGCGGCAATGCGGCCGATCGAAAGCAAAGACGCTTCGGCGTGCGTGTCCCCGCAGGAGAGCGCCGACGACGACGAGGAGGAGGAGGAGGTGTTGGTGCGCTGGTCGTCCAAAGAGGGGTCCCAGCCCCCAGCCGACATCGCCAGCGACCGAGAGGTCGCGTTCTCGTCCTCGCAAAGGGACGACGTCGCGTGGACAACGAACGGCCTTGCGGCGGCATTTATTTACGACGACGACGACAACGGCGACGACGCCTACACCAAAGAGACGGCTTTTGTCGGCGTGGCTAAGGTGTACTCAAGCGGCCCACGCAGCTTCCTAGGGTGCGGCCGCATTCCACCAAATACCGGTGATCACACCGTGGGCGGACGTAAGTAACCATTATTGATTTCACTACTTGTTCATATGACATGTCAAAATCGAATCAAGATTAACAATTATTCTTAATGACTCGTGCGGTTCTCGGAAGATTGTGAGTGGAGCGGGTCAAGCACGCCATATCAATGGCATCCGGGGCCTCCTCGATTAAGAGTACTACCTGGCCTTGTCAACGCCAACGGCGAGATGAAGGTGCCCACCAAGTGGTCCCACTTCTACCTCGTCGAGGAGGGTGGCGAGACCATCGCGGAAAAGATAAAGAGGGAGTTTTGGGTGAGTCTTTCATCGCACCGCATTGCTAAATAGTACGCGCATTAGTCGGACTTCTTGCAAAAAGGAAATGCTACATGATGTGTCTGTGTGCGTGACTTCTTCACGTCACGAGGAGGGTAAAGCGGCCCAGCGGCGCGAGTGCGTGAGGCGGTGCGCAAAGATCGCCTCAAGGACCTGTACCATGAGGCGCGCCACAGGCCATCCGCGACTTCCACGCTTAACGTGCTTGGAGAGAACATCAAGAAGCCCCAAATCCGCCAGAGAATGAACTCGAGGAGGCCGACCTCACCCAAGCGCAATCTGAAGGGTAATTAAGTATGACAACATTCGCTCGATTCCTTCGGTGAAACATTACACTAATCTTCTCGCATGTCAAATACTTGATGTCATGCGGTGTGTCCGCCGTGGTCTGCGACAACCACGAGGAATGCCGGATTTGAGATTGTGCGCATGTGGCGCCGCGGATGAGGCGTCTGTGCGGCGCGCCGCCGCCGTCGAAGGCCGCCAGCGCGATCACGGGTGTCACACCACCAAGGGAATCAGCCCCTCCCCGCCTTCGCGACAAGATGGGTATGCGTCCGTTCATGTCTTAATCCTTGCGCTCAATTGTCAATACTTGTAACCATGTTTGTGTTTTCAATGCGAGCCTTGAGACGCATTTGGTGGGGCGAAATCAACGAGTACACCGCACCTCTCTCTCTCACAAGGGCAAGGCGACGGATCCGAACAACGTCTACAACCCGGAGGACGGGCCCGATCGTACACCAACCCCACCGCCTACGAGAAGGCCACCGAGTACACCGTCGCGGCTCGCAAATACTACACGGGAGACGTTCGACCCACCGCCGAGCCCCCGACACGACCTCTCTGCGAGGTTGGGACCAGGAAGCAAAGACGGCCGCTACTACATGGCCCACAGGCGCCCTCGACCCGTCCCCAAAGTTCCTCTGGCCGACCCAGTTTCGATCCACGCCCACGAGCTCCAAATGACATCCCCGTGAGCGCCCGGCGGCGATCGGCGTCACCATGTAAGTGCCGCTTCGTTAAATGTTCACTCGCTTCGCTTTTGTACATACAATCAACACTACGGATGTAATATTGCGAGCCCGATGGAGGCCAAGATGGAGGAGAGGATCGCCACGTTGCCTTGCGCAGATGATGGCGCAATGATGGCTTACCAAAGAAAAGCTCGCAGCAACACTACAACACTCATATGCAGAACATGGCCAGCTTCTTCCAGTCCATGCAGACGCCCGGGGCGTCTACACCGCCTCCTCTTCCAATGTTCGCTCCACCGCCTCCTCCTCCGAGTTTTTCCCCGTGCTCTGCTCTCCCGCCGCTCTGGAGGGACCCCGGTGAGTATATTGACTCTTGCTTTAACTTGTGCGTCCATGCCGCAGATACTAATGACATCACTTGGCGTTTAACTTGTGCAGGTACAGTCGGCGGGTTCGAACCCGTCTCCGGAGGTCCCGCCATCGATGATGTCGTATCCACCACCGCACCCTATCCACCGTATCCACCTCCGCGTGGCCCTCCTCCGACGCGTATTGCGTGGCACGGTGCGCGGAGGTGGCGATGCCTGTATGCGCCTCGGTTTGGTCAAGGGGTTTCCGTGGGCAAACCACAGGGGCTCTGGGGCGGAGCGGACGACGAGACCGGGGACGCGCGATTGACGAGCTAGGTACTTGTCGATTCTGTTATCATGTATCCACCGTGTCGTCGAAGTTGTTGTCATGTATTTCTTTTCTTCGTTATGGACCTAGACTTGTTATGTTGAACTTCAGGTGATGGACGTCGACTTGTGGTGTTCGGCGTGTTGGACTTCATGTGATGGTTGTAATGCACTTGTGTGGTTGTTATTGTGACATATATGTGATGTTGTGCGTTATTGTGATATATGTGGTGATGTTGGCGACAAATGTGATGAAATTGTGATATAAATGGTGCTACCGGTGCTTCAGTGAAATTGGATTATAATTTGTGATTTTGCGGGGTTTTGATGCGAGAAAATAGAAAACAAAAGAAAAAAAAATTCCAGCTTTGCCGATTGCTTATAGTCGGCAAAGTCGGGCAAAAACTCAGAAGAATCTTTGCCGATCGCAACTCAAAGCGAATGGCAAAGAAAAAAAATTCCAGCTTTGCCGATTGCTTATACATGCAAAAGTCAAAAAAACTCAGGAAGAATCTTTGCCGATCGCAACTCCGAAGCGATCGGCAAAGAACATTTCAAAAAAAAAATTTTTTTGCCGCCGATTGCCGAAATGGCGGCGGTCGGCAAACAATTTTGAAAAATAATTCTTTGCCGATTGCCGAGGAACCAGAGTCGGCAAAAAGCCTCGCCGTCAGGTCGACGACGGCGCCACGTGGCTATGCCGATCATTGGCGTGGCGTATGATTGGCAAAGGATTTGCCGATTGTGTGCCGCGTGGCGGTCGGCAAATCCGCCTTTGCCGACCCAGGCTTTGCCGATTGCTCTTTGCCGACCGCCGCCACGTGGCTTTGCGGTCGGCAAAGCTTTGCCGACTGGTTTATGCCTTTGCCGACCGGGGCAAGCGAATGGGCAAGAAAGAGCGCTTCTGTAGTGCCTATAAATCGTGCATTTTACCAACTATTCCGTAGGGGCGGCTGGCAAAACTGCCCCTACAAATGATGTGGAGCCGCCCCTACAAATGGTGGTTGTACTAGTGTTGGATGTAGTAAAAAATTCATGTGAAGAATTTAAATTTGCTCCAATTTACTCCCTGTAGTCACTGTTTCGGTTCTTCATGTTGCAATAGAGAAAACCACATGTACTTGTATGGAGAAAATTGCGAAGGATACTTAAATTTTTTCTGTCACCCAAGGATGGAAATTGAATGAGGTCGGTTCCTAATGTGTAAGAATATTTTAGCTAGAGTTGTTCTACTAAATATATGTGTTACACTACTACAAAAAATCTTTGCGAGACAGCCTAGTTATATTAAAAGAGGCGGTCATATAAAATTTACCTATCTCCTAAAATACTTTGGAGGCAGTCATTTTATACGAAGGTTGCCAAAAACTGTCGTCTCTCAAAATGGATTTACGTAGGCAGCAACAAAATGTTGTCCCTCAAAATTAATTTATAGAGGATAGAGGAGTACCATTGAAGAGGTTTGTCTCTAAAAACAGTGGCCATTTCGGCTCGTCTCTGTAAATTGAGCCCCGCACACAAAGCCCATCAAGACCTGATATCAGCTTTAGAAACCCTAAGTCACCCTTCTCAACCCCCCCCCCCTGCCGCACTTGTATATCCCTCCGTCGTTCTCCACCTCTCTCTCTCTAAACAGAAGTCACAGAGCTGCCCCGTCGTACCCCTCCCTCGCCCCCTTCGGCCACGATGTAGTCATGTAGAGCCTCTTCCGACCATAGCGCGGAGCGCCACCCCCTTGTTCTAACAGTGGTGAGCACGATGCATGCAACAGAGCACGGACGCGCTCTGTTAAACGTTTTTACCAGTCTTCAAAATTGTTTTGGTAGTAGTGTTACTGGAGCGTGTTAACTAATTAATGTAAGAGCAATGTATGTTTGTACACTGGAAATCTAGTTGGCACACGTACGTGCATTTGATGGATTAGTTTTTGGAAACTCGACGAGAAAGTGTGGAAGTCCAGGGCATCTAATTAATCAGTTAGACCTAGAAAGTATAGATGGCTGACTTGTGCATGTGGTCATTTCCATGCCACCATTGTATACACACAAACAAAATGAGCAACTTCAGTGTACATACTATAGATGGCCAAACGGGCCAGGCACGATGGGACGACATGGGCCCAGCCCTAAAAAGTACGGCACAAGCACGGCACGGGCACGAAGACCATAGTATCAGTGCCGGCACGGGCACGGTCTAGGGCCGTGCCTGGGCCGCAAGTTCAGCCTGTAGTGCCAGCACGGGCACGGCACAACTAATGGGCTGGCACGATAGCCGCTCGATTATTCTCAGTCGTTGGATGGCCATAGATAAACTGCAACCGTTGGATGCATATGAAGACATATATAAACAAAATCCAAAACCTAGCTCTCTCTCGTAGTCGCGACTCCGGACTCCCTCCCATTCCCGTTTGCTGTTCCGACTTCCTCTCATTCCTTTGTTGTCCCGTCCTTATGCGGTGGCGGCGGTGGAGCGGCATGGCATAGCAGCGGCGGCGGCGGGGCAGCAGCAGCGCCGGCGCGGCGACAACTCGAGGTCTCGAGCATGGCCTCCGGCCTCGCGCGTGGGTGCCGGGCTGGCACGGCTTGGAGCGTTTAGTGCTGTGTTTGGGCCAAGGGGTGGGCACGGTGACCTGATACGCCACGGCACGGATAGATCATCGCGCCTGCTCGTGCCGTGTCGTGCCAGGGCCAGGCCGCCCGTTTGGTCAAGTATAGTACATACATGATAGCTCTTGGAAATCTGAACAAGGAAAATCTTTACTGTAATGGCATATGTCAATGCTCGCTCCTCTGGTACCGTTTGAACCATGTTCTTCAAGGCCAATAGGTTCTTGTTAGTGCACTGAACAAGCAACAAGATCGACATGCGTTGACAAATAGGAATACATTTCCACCACATCTAGAGGAACCACGAGATAGGTCCACCTGGCCAGCAACATGTTTTCGAGGTGCAAATATATATTAATCATGTAGTAACATTTTTCTCCTTGATGAAACAAAGAAACATCGTCTAATAGTTTATAGTATTATAGTACTGGTGGTTTAGGATGTCAATGTCCGCTCTCTCGTACTATTAAAACAAGTAGCACATATGTATATGACCGGTGCATGTTGAAGAAAAAAATTATACTGGTGGCTCATATATTCATAATATACCAATGCTCTCCCGCTGCTGATGCCTATAAATACATATGCCCCTGCCTCCCAACACCTCCCACGCTTCATAATTCATTTACCTCCTCTCACTCAACAACTATGGCATCCAAATCCATCTCCTTGGTCCTCTTCCTCCTCCTTGCCGCCTTCACTGCGGGTGCAAGCGCAGCCACCTTCACCATTACAAATAACTGCGGTTACACAGTGTGGCCAGCGGGCATCCCGGTCGGCGGCGGCACGCAGCTGGACCAAGGCCATACATGGATCGTGGACGTGCCCACCGGCACCAGCGGCAGGTTCTGGGGCCGCACCGGTTGTTCGTTCAACGTGGGAAGTGGCCACTGTGACATACACCGTCGATTGCGCTGGTGCGCTCTCCTGCACCGTCTCTGGGCAGCCGCCAGCAACGCTGGCCGAGTACACCATCGGTGGCACTGGCAACAACCAGGATTACTATGACATCTCGGTTGTTGACGGCTACAACCTGGCCATGGCCTTCTCCTGCAGCACTGGCGTTGGGCTGGTGTGCACAGACCCTAGCTGCCCTGATGCGTATCAGTATCCCACCGATGATACCAAGACCATGGTTTCCAATATCGGCCGAAATCTCCTGATATTTTCGATATATCCTCTTTATCCGTAGGTACCGATAAGAAAATATCTATCTTTTTCACATAAATTTTGTTTAAATTTATTTAAATTTACTTAAATTCAAATTAAATTTTATTTGAATTTGGTCCGATATTTCCGATATATCCTGTTTATCCTCTTTATCTGTGACCCCCGATAAATTTTAATTTCCGAAAATGAAAACCTTGGACCCATTCATGCAGCGCCAACAGCAACTACCAGGTGACCTTCTGCCCATGAAGCGGCGGATGGTGATCACGTCGAGCGGCGTACTACGTATTATGAAATATATATAACTACCACTATAGCTATGTCTCGTTCTACGTACGTATGAACGGAAATGTGAAAGAATAATTTGATAAATAAGAAAATATATGGTAAATCATCCATGGGTGCATGTGTACTGATATATGACACACATGTTGCATGTTTGTACTTGGTTATCAGGAACCTTATAAATATAAACATGTTTCGGCAAATAAAGATGTGGATTTTCTATATGCGCCATGAGTTTCCTGATTTCTTTTCTTTCATAATTCTTATGTTCATGAGCTACCTCCTAACTATAGCTATGTCTCGTATGGCTTAAACTCCATATCTTGACGGTTTACTGTCCAGTTGTGCATTGGGGTGCCCCCTCATGCATCTAGGGGCAGTTTAATCTATATTACTTGAGTTCCATGGGTATGATCTGTAGTTATTGTTGAAAGATACAACTTGACGTTATAAGGATCATGGTCCATATATAGGAGGCTCTCTCCCAAATGCTCTAATGTTTTGACTATTAAGTGTCGTCCCTTTTCACTGCTAGCTAAATGCAAATAGTTTTAACTACAAATTTTTAGATCTTGTCTAGGGCCTCTCTCCATAGAAGTCATTTGAAAAGTTCAAAATTTTTAATTTAAAAATATAAGAACTTAAATCATATTTGCGGACCCTAAATGATTTCAAATTAAAAAGTCGTCTCCAACTACAAAGTTCTAGATCTCTTGGATATATACAACTTTGATATAAATTTCATATTCATTCAACTACATTCAGATAAGCTATAATTTTTTCGTGTTGTACCTATTTTTATTGGTGTTCAAATCATGATCCGGCTAAGAATTGATTGTTAGAGTTGGTTGGTGTACACAAATTTATATCTAAATTATGCACCTCATCGCTACTATAAAAGATAATATGAAGTACCTGGTAAATTGGATCCAAATGACACATTGCATTATATAGAGATAAAAGTAACACCGTTTTGCAGAAAAATCACATAACTCTTCCAATATTAAAAAAGGGTAAACTCGCCCTCTAGTCTTCATCTAAATGACTAAGAAATACTATTATTGAATTAAAATTAAACAACCATAATGTAAATTTTCTACCACAATTAGTACATAAAAGAACTAACTCAAATTAGACATATATATCGTGTGCCATCATTTAGACCTAGAATACATGCATGAATGAAATATTCTCTTAGTGAACCACATACCAACCAAAATTTTGGAATTTTATTTAAATACATTAATACATCACGATGATAAATTATTTAAGCAGTTAACTTTAGATGAATTTACTATTTTATTAATTTTGATTGAAACATTATAACATATCTACATTGATTGTTCAATTTCAAGCATGGGACTTTGCTCAACAACCATGAAACATAAACCCTAACTTGAGCTACCAAAATGACTTTTTCCAAAACTAAAAAAAAAAAATTCAAAAAATGACTTATTCCACTTTTTAAATCCGCAAGAAACTTTGCTTGAAATTTTAGGTCTAATGATCTGTATTCCGTGTATTTTTTATGGTAGCAAATAAAGCATGTAATATACAATGAGATAAACGAGTATAATTGTCCTTGTTCTTGGAGATCTTTTTGTTGATAGTTTACTTTGGCCGGTAGGAGAGTCTACATAATGTACTAGAAAAAATTGTAATATGAGGATGACCTGGTATGTCTCTTGTCAAATAGGACTACACTTCATCCACCATTTTATATGAAGATGGAGGTTCAAAAGAAGAAACATCTAACAGTTTATGGTACAATATACGGACAGCAGCTGATGGTTCCTAATATCAAACAGTTCTATTGCTACAATACAAGTATATTGCCTGCAACTAAGTGGAAAACTCAGTTGGTATACGAAAATTAAGATTGTATTTAACTTATTTTATTTAAGTTGTCAAGGGTTCATTTATTTTCAAAAAAAAGAAAAGATACAACTTTTTGTTTCGGCAGTCTTGATGGCAGTGTGCCAGCGCAGCCACCTTTAGCATAAGCAACAGCAGCTTCACGGTGTGGCCGGCGTCCATCCCAGTTAGCAACGGCTCGTGGCAAGATCGACCCGGGCATGACGTGGACACTCGACGTTCCTGCCAGCACCAGCCCCGGCCGGATCTGAGGCCGTACCAGCTGTTCCTTCAACGACCGCGGACGCGGCCACTGCGACACCGGCGCGCTCTCCTGCAACGTCTCAGGGCAGCCGCCGGCGATGCTGGCCGAGTTCTGCATAGGCAACGGTGGTGACGCCAAGGACTACTACGATATCTCGCTGATTGACGGCTTCAACCTGGCCATGAACTTCTCATCTGCCTGGAGCTGTACCACTGATCCAAGAGCCCTCCCCAGCTGCAAAGGCAACAGCAACTACCAGGTCATCTTCTGCCCTTGATAGTAGGAACAATGCATGCACTGCACGGCACCGAGAGACTACAAGTATGGAATCCATATATAGGAGTGGGAAATAAATAAAATAGGCTGACAATAAGACGATACATGTTTAGTCGTCCATGGCTGCAGGAACAGCCGTGTTGGTACCAGGGTATGAAGAAACTTCTGCATCTCAAAATGTTTTCCACAGAAATAAAGGCGTAAGTTTTCCAGCTAGCTCTAATATCTTGTGAAAATGTGCATTTTATTTTCGATCGAGCTTGGTATCCATACAAATTACTATAAAGCATCCCTTACAAAACGAAAAGGACTAAAATAACCATTGATTGACATTATAACTTTGTGAGTGCAGTTTTCGAGATATGTACTATACCACAATTAACACAAGGAATACAAGAGATATCGATAGAGAAAGTCATATAGGTTTGCGCTTTGGATCAGATAACTGTATTAGCTTGTCAACACTACATCACGTGCATGCCTTGGAATTCCACGTATCCTTGGAAGTTTGGCATCAGTCGATCGCCTGAAGAAAGTTTGGCATGCAGTCCGAGAGTGCAGTTTCAAAACGTTATACAGGGCTAAAGTTTAAAAAATAACGACGAAATCACCATTTCCCTTCTAAACAAGGGCATGAATGCCAAATGTCCTATTTTTAATACATCAGACATCCTACTATATAGGTGGTCAATTTTTGTCAGCCTTTGAGTGATTTCGTCGTAAACATCTATCACCTCGAACAAAAACATCATAGAGAACTGCTCCAATACTCCTCTTTTTAAAAAGTGCACAGATCTCAAAGCAACCAATCTAATTAATTATTCTTTTCTTAATTGGTTTTCCTCTTGGGTCCAGCGCGGCCCAACCTGGCCCGACCTTGCCAAGCCCGCTCCCCCGATCCCCTTTGTCTGGCGCCGTTCTGAAACTCGTTGAAGGAGACGGCGTCGGCCATTCCCGAGCAGCGGCAGCCGGCGGACCTGTAGCAGTAGCGGGCAGTTCAAGCCGACCACAACACTTCCATTTCCCTCCTCCGGCTAATGTCCGAGTTGGAAGTGTGCGAGCAAGGACACCACGACGGTTGCGCTATGGTACTCGCCGATCAGAGGTTGCACCACCATCTAAATGCAAAACTATCGTCGCCTCCCTGCCTTTCTGGCTCTGTCCAGGAGACACGCCGGAGGCCGGATGGCCTAGAGGGTCCACGACGGCGGCGCTCTGATGGATGTGTACTACATGGCTACATGCCAATACTGATCGTAATGTACTGTATCTTATTTTTCTTTCTTTTTGTGGACAATTATGTGGGTTATTTGTGCTCAGGTATATGGAGCTCTGAAATGGAATAATGGAAGAAGGCTACCACGAGACTCCACACACGCCAGCCCCAATAGCCCAATTGGTGCTTTAATTTGACATTTATTTTTCATTGTACTTATGAGATTATGTGATTACTGATGATCCACTGACAATCTGAATCAAGAGGGCATACTCATATTTCGAACGTATTTGATTGAAGAGATTATATTTTCGCCCACAAATCATATAGAAGAATCCAAAGAAGGCGTTGAAGGCATCATGCAAGCATGCAATCCTCTGAAAAAAAAAAACACATATTGATTTTGGACACAATCAAGTTTGTTTTGGTGGTTAGGATTCAGATTGTCAGTGGAAGTGTTTTGTTAAGTTCATTTGTTAGCTTGAACGGTTTGTCAAGTGCTTGCCCTATTTATATTACATACAAGGACCAACTGTTTTGATGCAGCTTATCAAATTCTACATCAGAGGCACACGTTTTTTTTTTCTTTCAAATTAGGGTCCCATATGTGTGTACCGTGTGTTGGGATTTCCGAATGTTTCTCTGCCTGGGCATTGTGATGCATTATGCATGAATTGTTTTCAGAACTGAGGCTGCCATTAAGTCCTGCAGAGAACAACAATTTTACAGGCTACAACAGTACACTTCCGATTAAAAAGGAACAAGGGGAATTTCGAGGTCTTGAGAACTTGTGTAGATGGTAATTTGCTGGTACTAAATGCCTTTCACAAATGGTAAATATGCATTGCAAATTCTGAGCTTGCACGAGTAAAATAGTATAGATTGTGTATTTCCCCTGGTAATCAGGGTATGACAAGTAAAATGGCAAATTCCCTGGAATAC